GGGTTCTGAGGTTGAATCGTGTGGATTCACCAGGCACCCATCTATTAATTGGTTCATTACATAAATAGTAAGAGTAATGTTATTAATCCTTCAAAAATTTTATTGTGCACTGTATTTTTCTTTCCAAATATAAAAAAATTAGAGTGCACAAAATTATTTCAGAGTGCCAATAACAATACTCAATAACAAGACAAACTATTTTTTCCTCATAAACGCTCTTCTTTTTCATTGAATTAAAAAAATAAAACCAAAACAACGGTCAAAATTAAACACGAGTATAGAAGGAGGAAAAAAGTATGTGATTATCGTCCCTTAAAATCATGATTTAGGGGACGCTTAGCAAGTCAATTTTTCTTTAGAAGTGTAAAACGAGACACAAACCGAAGTTTTGTATTGAAGTTTTTTTTTTCTGGTACGATAACCACAGCAAACACCGAACATGTTCTAAATTATAACTCGAAGGCTTTTCAATTAAGTACTTAAGCAAAAGCGAAAGCAGCTTCAATCTCCACACCTTCGGTCTACCTTCTTTGATTAGAATGCAGAATTTTGTAAAGGAAAGGGAAACCAAAAATATATAGAGTTACCAGAAGTCATTGCACGAACATTTCCCGTCAGTAAAATGATGGTATCGGCTGGCATCTCGAACAATGATGTCCCTCTTCACAATGCTGCTTATGAAATTCAATACAGTATGACAATCTCCGCAGACACGAAGATTTTTTACTATCCGAATAGCAGTCCCCGGAACAGCCTTAAGCAGCCCATACGCCACAGCCAACCTCTCGCTGTGCCAAAAGAGCTGCCTTTCCTTCTCTTGGTCCTCCATTTCATGTAAAACAAAGCTACTGTCAGGCACATAGCCTCTTCTCCTCATCTCTGCATCTAACCCCTTGAGCAAACCGAAAATCTCATCCTTCATAGGATGAGATGTCTCTCCAGCGTAAAAGACTTGGCTTTCCTTTCCAATGCCAATGGAACTATAACCAGGCTTCTTCTTAACTTCTCTAGCAACCATCAACTTTCTCACTTCTGCTACGTTTTCCCACATACGTGCACCGGCATAGACATTAGACAACAGTATGTAACTTGAAGGGTCTTCTGGTTTTAAGCTTAAAAGATGATCGGCAACCCTGATTCCCATTTGGGTTTCTCCATGATGTCTGCAAGCACTTAACAAAGCTGCCCAAGTGGGTTCATCCGGCTCAAACGGCATTGAATCAATAACATTCGAAGCTTCATCAAGGTGCCCCGAGCGACTAAGAAGATCCAAAAAGCATGTATAGTGCTGCAGGGAGGGGCTAATCCCGTAATCCTCAATCATAGATCTGAAAAGAGCACGTCCTTTGCTAACTAAACCAACATGGCTACACGCATAAATCAATCCAACAAAGGTAACTTGATTTGGCCTTATTCCGGCTGCAATCATCTGATCATATAAAGTCAAAGCTTCCTCAGCTCGCCCGTGCTGAGCTGCCCCAACAATTATAGAAGTCCAAGAAACTACATCTCTTCGATGCATTCGAGCAAAAATACCCTTAGCAGCTAAAATGTCACTACATTTTGCATACATATCAACTAGTGCATTACTAATAAACAAGCAAGACTCATAGCCAAGACCAATAACTAGACCATGAACCTGCTTTCCAAGCTCCAACACTGCCAAATTAGCAGAAGCTCCAACAATGCTGGAGAGAACTAATGGGTCCACTATATCAACCCCGTCTCTCCTCATTTCAATAAACAAATAAAATGCATCAACGCCGTGTCCACTCTGTACCAACCCAGATATCAAAGCAGTCCAACAAAACAAATTCTTAAGAGGTAACCTCTCAAACATTTCGATAGCATCTGATTTCCTTCCACTCCTGGCATACCCCGAAATCAGAGCAGTCCAAGAAACCGGACTTCTGGACACAATTGAATCAAAAACCGCACGAGCATTATCAGGCAATCCACATTTCGCATACATATCAACCAGGGACGACTTAACCACATCATCATAGCGAAACGGGGACACCAAAAATCGGCCATGCACTTGCTTGCCTTGTCTAACAGCTTCCAAACCAGAGCAGGCCTTGACAATGCAAGCAAACACAAAATGGTCCGGCTGCAAACCATCAGACTCGAACATTGCAGGGAGCATGGCGAGGGTTCGGTGGGGGACGTTGGCTAGGTTGTGGGCGGTAAAAATTGAAGCCCATGAGACAAGGTCTCGTTGAGGCATTTCGTCGAACACCCGGCGCGCTTCTTCGACTAGACCGCATTTCCCGTAGGCATCCAAGAGGGTGTTGGGTAAGGGCACGCATAGATGGAGGCCTGTTTTGATGATTTGGGCGTGGAGGTTTTTGGCGGTAAAAGGCACGCGGCGTCGGGCGCAGAGTTGCAGTTGGTGTAGGAAGTGAGACGCTGGCATTCATCACCTAGTTCTATACAAGCCCCACCGTGTTCGTTAGAGTTCTAAAAAGCGAACAGCGTAAAAAATTATTTTAACTACTTATTTAACTTTTCATCTCCAATAAATTATATATTTAACAAACTAAAATGTGAATGGGTAATGTTAGGAATACCAAATTTTAAGACTAAATTTAATAAACCAAATGATGTGGTAAGTTTGTGATTATTAGATTGTTACTTAAGTATTGATTAATACACTTATTTTCGTGAAGAGATCCCTTCCGGATTTTTCCCACCAAAGCCCACCAATCAATTAATCCGGATCCTTGAAATTTGATCCAACTGCTAAAATTATTATAACTTTTAAATGGACCCCCTATTTGTAACGGTTTGATCAAATTTCAAGAGTTCGGATTAATTGATTGGTGGGTTTTGGTGGGAGAAATCTGGACGGGATCTCTTCCTCTTATTTTCTATTGGAGACACATCATTTGGTTTAGAAATTTGGCCTCCCTAGCATTCTAAAAATAATATTGTAGAGATGCTAGGATTTTAAACTTGTTCTTACAAAAGTGTCAGAATTTTGAAACTGATCTTGTAAAAGTTCATGAATTGTGAAACTGATATTGCAGAAATGTATAAAAATTTGAAACTAATCTTGTATAAATATTGAAATTTTGAAACCGTTCGTGCAGAAGTGCATAGATTGTGAATTGACCTTGCAGAAGTGCATAAAATTTTAAAGTTCGATCTTGCGAAGTGCATGAATTGTGAACTTACAAAAGTGTAGATATTAGTTATTGTGGATGCAAAATTAGTTTGAAATTTTTACAAACGGGGTCAGATATTAATTTGGTTTGCTTGTTTTTTAGTTAGGTTTGTTGCGATTTGAGTTTTGTCTCTCTTGAAATGATTCAAAGATAGTGAATTTCTATAACATGTCTTTTGTGTTTTTGTCTTAATAGGTAAAGCTCCATTTTTCAAAACCGTCTGCTCTTCTCGCTTTCTTTTCTTATTGGTCATCGGTCCATCATTGAGTTTTACTAATTTTTTAACATTTAGCATATGAATAGTGACTCAATTTAAAGAGAGCCATTCACTTTGCTATCATATATAGAATCACTTATAGTCTGGTTTTTTAAAATAAAATTTTAGTGATTTTACAGCTTGTGAAGCATCAACACATATATAAAATGGGTGTAGCGGAGATGAGGATGCTTCGTTGGATGTGTGGGCACACGAGAAATGATAAGATTAGGAATGAGAATATCCGAAGTAAAGTAGGAGTAGCCGAAATTGAAGGAAATGTGAGAGAAAATTGGTTACGGTGGTTTGGACATGTGCAAAGAAAGCCTACTGACGCTCTGGTTAGAAGATGCGACTACGAGACAGAGGTTCAGGGCCGAAAGGATAGAGGAAGACCTATGAAAACTTTGGAAGAGACTATAAGAAAAGATTTAGAGTACTTGGATCTAACGGAGGACATAACACAGAACTGAGCGCAATGGCGTTCTAGAATTCATATAACCAACCCCACTTAATAGGAAAATGCTTTTTTGTTGTTGTACAGCTTGTGTTAGAGAAGTTCTTAGGCTTGTTCGTTAATGTGCTGATAAACGGATTTGGATCCTCTCCTGAGCAGGAGATCAGGATCCTCGGGATCAAACAACATGGGCCGTTGGATTTTGATCCAACGGCTACAAACAGGGGGCCCTCTAAAAGTTATAATAATTGTAGCCGTTGGATTAAAATCCAACAGCCCATGTTGTTTGATCCCGAGGATCCTGATCTCCTGCTCAGGAGAGGATCCAAATCCCTGATAAACTATGGTCAATATCAATTTGCTCTCTGAAGGTTTCAGTGACATACTTTTCCCTTGACTGATGTTTAATGTTTTTTACTTTACCTCGTGCCGTTAACTCAATCTAATATTTTATTAACTCAAATCTAATATTTTGTCAAAATTGAAGTCGTGGCATGCGTAATTTCGTCATTTTACAACTGGACCCATAATTCACCGATGAGGATGTCTCGTGCAGAAAAGCTAGTAGGGTACTCCATTTGGACGAAATGACAAAAATTCATATTTAATTTGCTAAAATAGCAACCAAACTAAATAACACGAATCCGGATTCTTGCCGTATTCTTTTGTGAGGATCTTAGAGATCTGTGAATTATACATGTTCATCGTACACCGTATGGTCAGAAATTATTTTAAATATTTTTATTTTAAAATTAAATACAAACAGTACTTGATAAAAACTGACCGCATGATGTACAATGAACAAACATGATTTACGAATCCCTAGAATCATCACCAAAAGAATCTGAAGAGGATGCTGTTGGAAATAACACAACAATCAAACCTTATCTTACTAATTAGATTATTGAATTTGAAATATCATCTATATCGTATTGAATTTTTTTTACTGAATATCCTATTAATTTTAAAAACTCCCATCAAAATCCGCTCCATTAATGAGTCTATCTCTAATCAGTCCAATGCTTTACTTGTCGTGCATAAAAGAAAAACGAAATCTTGTGCACCCATTTTACGTGTGGCCTATCTATGACCTCTATCATTGCCGTGAGTCAAAGGTGTATCATGGGGAATCTTGTGGAACCACCCTTCATTATTTGAAAGAATTTCTATCTTATAAAAGCAACACAATTTTGATGAAGAGTTTTTTTACTATGATAAATGTGATCCATGCGCATGGAAAAATCGATACAAGTGTGTTGGTTTACTTGAAAAGGTTGTCTATTTGTTCTTTGTATTGAGCCACGACTCGGTCCCGTCGAATTTTCATGGTTGGAGTCATTAGGCCACTGTCAATCTGCAACAGGAAAGTATAATTTGTCAGCCATTCACATCTGTAAAGCCGAAGGCAGTGCTGATGGAACTACTGGGATGGATGGATGGATGTTTTACCGTAAAGGGTTCGTCCGCGATTATGATCGGTCCGATTTGAAATGAACACCCTGAAGTCCTGCAAAAGATGGACGACGGATCATGAGAGACAGTCGCATTGTAGCAAACAGATACCATTGTTGAGACAACTGAATCTTAAAGGCCTCGTGCGAAGTTTAAATTTATCGATCATTGAAACCCGGTAATTCCCAAGAACATCTACAACAATTTGTTGACCTATAAAGAATTTTTACCATTTTCTCAGCTCTTCATAAACCAATCTTGTCAATCTATCGTTGCTTAGGCCGGAGGCATCAGCAGCATCTACAGCAGCCAACTTTTTGGCTGCGAGTAAAGCCTCTTCTTTGTTTGGAACAACAATTGCCCCAAGGCGTCGCTGATCCTACATATATGAATGCAAACACATGCAGAATCAGTACATCAGTTGTAAAATGGCGGAATGTAGACAGATATAAGGGAAATGAACTGCGGCAGAACCTGGCCGATGACAACAATTTGTTGAATTAGACTACTTCTCAAGGCAGCTTCCTCAATCTCTACCGGTTCAACGTTTTCCCCTTGTAAAAAATGCCGACTTGCACAGCGTTAGGGAAATGAAATTACATTCAGACACATAGGAGTAGATTTCAACAGAAAATAAAGACACATGTGTATAAACTCATATGATCGAGATGTTTGGCAAGATTCGATTAAATACATGTCCCTCAACCTGGTAGTTTGGGCTCACTAGTTTTGTGACAAGAAACGTTTCTTTAGCGCAGTGTTTAATTACATAGTCCATGGAACTGAAACTAGGAAGACATTTCAAGTTGTTAGCTAGCGGATCCATGACAATGTTGCAGAAGAAAATTAAGCTTTTGGTATACCTGTTAAAAGAACGATAGTGTCCTTGGCACGTCCTTCAAGAACAACCACCCCTCCACAACAACGACTTCGCCCTATTGAATGGTGAGGAGCAATCCAACCAATGTCTCCAGTGTCTAGCCACCCATCGTCATCCAATGCTTTCTTTGTAGCGCCTGGATTCTAGTCCAAACATGAACAGAAAAAGTCACAAGCATATCATTAGGCAATGGAAATGCTGAATTCTGGTAGTAATATTAAAAATCGAATTCAAAATTGTACAACGTAAACATAAAATAGAAGCGAAATACAAGGATGATAACTAAGAGACCCTTCGATACTGAATTTTTGTGGCAGATACACAAAATGAGTGCAAATGGTTTTGGCAGATCTTTCAATAATTTAAAAATTAGAAAGAACATTTGATGAACACAATATATGGTACCTTGTAGTATCCCTTCATCACTTGAGGTCCCCTAACTTTCAGAATTCCGCTCAAACCAGGAGAAAGAACTTCACCGGTTTCAGAATCTACGACTTTGAACTCAGTATGTCGAATTGGTATCCCAACAGAACCAATAACCTTCAGAAAAGTAGGAAAGAAATGTCTGTCAGGATAGATAAAGTCGATACATGGTCAATAAGCAATAACTTTGCAATAGCTATAGAATCGTTCTAGTCGTAATTTAAACATAATAGCATCATCACTAGTTCATTTATTTAGTTTGCTATTGTTCTTGAGGTATATACCAACCGGGGTATGTCAAGCACAACTCAAAAATACAAGCTAACAAACAATTTAAATTATATTTCTTACATTAAAATTTGATCGTCGAGAAGCAACAACAGGAGAAGTCTCTGTTAAACCATATCCATTCTGCAGTTTCACGTCAATTGCCTGCAAGCATACAACAGCACAATGAGAACTGATTATCTAAAGATCCTACTTGGCGAGGAAAGTACGTGTGAGAATCCAACCTCGAAAAATTTATCAACATGTGAAGGCAGACAACCTCCTCCACTGATGCCGGCCTGCAGGAAGCCAGAGAATTTCCTAATTAGTCCCGCTCTTTCTAATCAACGTAATAAACAAAAGTCGTCACAGAACAAAGAAGACACAAATAATAACTTGGAAATAAGATGACCTTTGATATTCCAATGGCGGATTGAATTTTACTGTAGACTAGTTTCTTTCCCAGCACATGCAAAGGCCATAATAACGCAGCAATTATTCGCGCCCATAACCAATCTGCTACTGAAACAAGATACGAAGGTTGCTTCTGGTTCCTCGTCAGATACGTTCCCTATAAATGAATATTGATAACGCTATAAGCTTAGGTGGTACGGTAGGTGTTACAACAAAACACAACAGAAACAACAAAATCCATTGCCGCATTCATATAATCACTGTATGCAGTGTATTCCAGTTTGGAGATGAACATAGAAAATAACAGAACTATTCAGAGAATAAATTCACAGTAAATGAACCTCATAGATCCTCTTAAACTCCATGTACGCCATACTGATCCTTATGAATGTAAGCACAATAAGCTTACGAACAGTAGACGCGGATGAAATTTGTTTCTGAATACCGCTGCAAAGAGAAATAAGTACGTTAATACCTAAAAAGAGGACAAATAGACAACATGAAGAAAAGGCATACCTGTAAAGTGACTCATACACTAAAGGAACTGAAATTATATAGGTTGGCTGATATTTTCGCAAATCATCCTATCAAATAAACGAAAATTGTCAAATAACACTGATCAATTTGAACATGTAAAATCAAACAAGATGGAAAATAAACAGATGCGATGCAAATAGGTTCTCCATTTCCGGCCAACAATTCTTTCAATTCTTCTTCAAAATCACCGGAGAATAGTATAAAGTTCATTTTGAAAGATAAAAAAATCGTTTGCTGTTGAGATAATAATACCTTCATTTTCCGCACACTGGTGTAAAATTGCTCAACTCCACACGTAAAAGCGAAATACTCACAAGCTCGTTCATAGCAATGCCATGGTGGAAGCATGCTAAGAAATTTGTCGCCACCTACACAAGGTACAGCATCCCCTAGGTTCTTTATCTGAGAAACAAAATGCAAATAACTGCAAAAATGAGTTCAATATAATGGAGGCAAGTAGTGAATTCAGTTTTAACAAAAAGAAGCTAACGAAGACCTTCCGAGGTGCAAAAAACAGTTGGTTAAACTGTAACGCAAGTAAGCAGAGCAGAAAACAAAAGATAGATGCTAGAACAGCTTCTTCAAAAAACCATTTTCATAACACTCTTTGAGTTATGAAAGGAAAATACGTGAAAAACAATACAAACAAAACCAACCTGATGCAACAAATTCCTATGTGTGAGCATGACACCTTTTGGGTTGCCACTTGTTCCACTCGTATATACTAATGTAGCAACATCATCCGATTTAATAACTTCATACGTATCAGACTGTTCTGCAATCAGAATATTTACATCAGAGGCTGCAAACGCACCAAGCATTTTGTAGTCCATTCACAGAAAGAAGATTGAACAATTAATGGACAGAATTAAGAGAGGGAGTGCACACATATTCCTGTAAAACGAAAAAGGAACTTCATACATAACGCAAACAGATAGTTGACATACGTTTATCATCAGAATCAAGCAAACTCTTGCGACTCTCTCGTCCCAAATCTAGAATCTCCTTGTAGTCGAAAATAGGAACCTTTCCTTCATTTTTCAGGCTTGACTTCTCCCCCCATAGCAGAACAATAAATTTCATCGCCTTGGAACAAAATTCTTCTGATATCCGATTGAACAACTCAGGACTGTCCACAGCAAGCGCAACACTGTCGGAGCAATGAAGTAAAACATTATTCCATGATTCATTAAGATACAAAGGAAAACATGCTTTTGTAAATAAATAAATTCATGTTTTTATGGACCAAGTACTTTCAATGATCTTAACCAAACCCCGCTACTAACTTCATAGAATGGAAATTTCAGATTTAAGATGTATTATCAAACAGTAATTAAGGTTTATCAATCATATAGTTATATAGACATTGGTAATATACTTTAAATAAGATGAGTGTAGACCCGAACCTATCAGAATGATTGTATATTTGCAGTAACTCTTCGACTGATGACCTCGAACCTCTCACCACATTGATTGCTCCAGTGGCCATTATACCTAATCAAAATAAATCAAAACAGTCAGCTTTAAAAATTTTACAGGAACCCCCCCCAATGAGATAAATCGATAAATTAACACAAACCGAATCATGTGCAGCAGATTAACATTTTTCAATGACTTCGCCCCAAAATTAACATTGATCAGGTAAGCATTGTCAACATATCGATAAAAGAGGGGTATACAATATACAGTCGGTGGAGGATCTATCAGCAGTGGCAGAAGTTAAGAGAAAGAATATAATTCCTTTACAAGTAATAAGCATGGCCGTGTCAGGCAATGTATTTTATCTGTAGAATTTTTCAACGATATTTTGCTATGAATAGGATATACACTTGATTTACTATAAAAAACGTGCTTAGTTTATAATCGAAGAGTAAATAGCAGGATGTGAAGCAACAAACCTGAATAGCAAAAGTGACGCTATCAGAGAAATAGCATGGCCATATAGAAAATGAGCATACCACATCCTAGAAAAGCCACTACAAGATGGCTATGAAGAATGACTCAATGTGAATAAAAATTGCATACCTTGATCAGCAACAAGCCAACGGCATGAATTATCAGCAAACAGTGCAATTTTTTCGTCTGGCTTTACTCCAACAACTCTCATCCCTTCAGCAAAGTCCAAAATTTCCTGCTCAAGCTGCAATTTTGAAGAAAGCGAAAGAAAGACACTCAATGGAACTGTAAAACTCTAAACACAAAAAATAGATTAAGTGAGATCATAAAAATTATACAAGAACAAATTGATATAATCAACCAAGTTGATGGCCAGGAAGGTTTCAAATTACAACACTCAAACGCTTTTCAAATTGAAAGTGTCAACTGTTAAGTTAGACAGCACCCAAAATCAAAATCTGAAAGTGAAAACCCCAATGTAGACTCAGCAACAGAAACCTATGAAAGAACAAATTTGATGCTTACTGGTACAAAACCAGAGACGACTTAACAAAACAATGAAAGAAAAAAGTTGTAGTAGAAAAGTAGCGTAGACTCAACAACATTGGTGGTAATCTTTTTTATTCAATGAAAGTTAATTTTTAAAATCAACGAAGAATATTGTTAAACCCAACAAAGAAGAGAGGAATTTTGTTTTCTGTTCATTGTCCTCCTAGTCTCCAACTACATCTACTAGTAACAAACATGAACCCTTAATAAAAGCATTAAGTTCCCATCGTGATGAATCAGTGACCAACAAAAAGAGCAAAGTAGCCATGATAAAATAAGTATGAAAGTGATAAGTCAGAAATGGAAAAGAAAACTAACCTGTTTATAAGTTATACTCGAAGGTGGGTCATGATAGGGATCCACCAATGCTACTAGGTCACCATATTTCGCAGCTGAAGATCTCCAAATATCAGGAACTGCTTTCCACCTATCAGATTCTGAAGCATCATTATCATCTAGTAACACACGTTCCAGGAAAGGTGAATGCCTTCGTATCTGCTTTTCTTCTGTCTGTAACATAGTTTTTTTTGGCAAATACAAATAGGCGTGACCATCTGTATATCAGACATTCCAAGGCTTCTACAGCTAAAGAGAAAACAAACACAGACTTTATAATATATACTCAATAAGACCATCACAACAAGATCAAAAGTCTTTGATAGTTCCAAATATGAGGTGATGAAGTTAGAAGACGATACACACTAGCTATATGGATGTGGCATGATCTTTAGCAATCAAGCAGATAGAGGAATAAGAGTACAGACCAAATCCTCTAGCCGGAAAAATACTAGCCCTATAAACTGTGGAAGCATGCATATATCAGGTTCTAATTCCATATTTGAAAAGAAATATGCAAAAGAGTGAAGAACGAAGATGATGGGCATATACAGCTTTTGTTCAGGTGTCTACAGACACAGTTGTGTATTAGTCGGAGCCTGGAGGTGACATCTAGTATTTGAAATTGAAAGCATAACCAAGGTAGCAGCTTTTCAGTAAGAATTCAAATTCAAATTCAAAGCCAATAAAACTTTTTTCTCCAATTCAAAACTCTGGCCCAATATGAATAAGAACTCTGGTAATCAAGAAGAATCCATACTATAACATCATAAAGAAGAGTGATTTCTTCACACCTTTTTTCACCTTCTACACCCCGTCCCCTTAATTCCAGCCCTTGATTCTCCTTTGATTGTTCAATCCAATGGCTGAAAAAGGAGAGGGCTTTGCAGGATGTGAAAAAGAGTGTGCAAAATCATTCCCCTACAGAAAAACTCATGGGAACAAAAACTAATGCATAGAATACAAAAACCTTATGAAGCCAAAGATGATCAACAAATTAACTTGATTACCTAGCACTTTTATGAGAATTTAAAATACAATATATTCCACACAAACGAAAAGTCAATTCCATGAATGTCACAGACGTGGGTTAGGTCAGGTGGATGAGACTGTGTGCCCAATCTCTTGCACCCCAAGTTCCAATACCACTCGTCGTAGATAAGAGTAGTTGAGAATATCGTCTTGTCAAAAAGAAGAAGTCCAGGATCGTCAAAACAGCCAATTTCAGAATACCGTCTCATCATGTTTTCGTGGAACCATAAATTCTCACCACTAATGATAGAATCGAAGACATACTAAAGTTACAGGCAATACTAACATACTATGAACACAAAACTATAAACTGAATAGTACGAATAATTACGGATACCCCCACTAAGGAATCCATTTTCAAAGAAAACATATAGAACTCTCGAAAGGGTGTTGAGGAATCACCTTGGACTGGCATAACACTCTAAATCCACGACTGACAGAAATCCCACCTCGGCTTCCGTGCCATTTTCTATGATAAAGTTGTCCGCTTCTGGAATTATTGTTGGAACGGAACTGAAGGGTGTGCCCGCAATCAGAAGAGCTGCCCAGGACGTAGTTTGGCGCTAAGAAAAAGGTGGCCATTTGGATGACAGAAGCAGAAGCAGAAGCAGAAACTACGGAAATTGGGTTCATCAGAGCTCCCAGAACAGCTTCTTCTGTGCGTCTCCCTTTTAATGTATTTATCGACACAGAGAGAGAGGAGTGTGGGAGATTGATTGCAGGAAGTTGAAAAGAAGGTGAAGCCGTGAAGGAAATGCAAAAGTCGTGTGAAAGAATGCGAGCAAAGAGTTACAAGACAACGTTTTCTGTGCCGAGTCGATGGAAGTTGTTCACGTCGGACCAAGAACATGAATTTGAGGAGATAATGGTATATATTTATTTATTATTATTTTTTGTTACTTTTACTTTTATTAAGGTTATTGATGATGCATTGGAGGAGGGAGGTACGAGGTATCTTTCCTTTGCTTAATTAATTAGGGAGTCTTAATTTCTTAAACGAATTTTTTTTTAAAAGAACGATATATTAATGACCTCAAATGAGAGTTTCATCAAATCTAGGGGTGTATTGAATTGAGATTTTACTAGATTTTAATTCTTTTAATAAATCTAAGGTATTCAATTAGGATTTTAAGGATGATGTATTCAATAGGAATTTGGAGGGATTTTAATTCTTTTAATGAATCTAGGCGTATTCAATTAGGATTTTAAGTGATTCTCTGAAATTCAATGTATATTCAATTAGGATTTTAAGATAGTTTATTAAAGTCTTTAGAAATCCGGTATATTCAATTAGAATTTTAAAGAAGTTTATAACATTTCAAATGTATTCAATTAGAATTAGAATTTAAAGAATTTGGCAAAATTGAGGAATTAGAGGGAATTGGATAGATTTTGTAGTGTATTTTAAGCATCACAAATATCACCTCTCCCCATAAGATTTCGATGGAATTGAATCAAATTTTTACATGGAATCTCTACAAATCAATTAAACTCCATAAAAATCCATGGATTTATAAATCCATTAAAATATTTCAAATTCCCAATTGAATACACCCTAAGTGATTCCTTGAAATTCAAGGTGTATTCAATCATGATTTTAAGATAATTTATTAAAATCCTTAGAAATCCGGGTGTATTCAATTAGGATTTTAAAGAAATTTATAACATTCCAGATGTATTCAATTAGAAATTGATTTTAAATAATTTGAGAAAGTTAAGGAATTAAAGGGAATTGGAGAGATTTCGTAGTGTATTTTAAACATCCACAAATCTCACATCTTTTCATGAGATTTTCGAGGGAATTGAATCAAGCTTTTATATGGAATCTCTACAAATCAATTAAGGGGGGTGTATTCAATTTGGAATTTGAGAGATTTTAATGGATTTATAAATCCATGGATTTTTACGGAGTTTAACTGATTTGTAGAGATTCTATGTAAAATTTTGATTCAATTCCCTCGAAATCTCATGGGAAGAGGTGAGATTTGTGGATGCTTAAAATACACTACAAAATCTCTCCAATTCCCTCTAATTCCTCAACTTTTCCAAATTCTCTAAATTCTAATTCTAATTGAATACACCTAGAATGTTATAAACTTCTTTAAAATTCTAATTGAATACACTTGGATTTCTAAGGATTTTAATAAACTATCTTAAAATTCTGATTGAATACACATTGAATTTCAGAGAATCACTTAAAATTCTGATTGAATACCCCTAAATTCATTAAAAGAATTAAAATCCCTCAAAATCTCAATTGAATACACCCCCCTAAATTCCATAAAAATTCATGGATTTATAAATCCATTAAAGTCTCTCAAATTCTCAATTGATTACACTCCCTCGAGGGAATCCTAAATAGTGTCATGTTGATCCTCGAACCAAACTATCTCGTTGCCAATTAACACGGCAAACTGAGCTTCATAGGCAACCTCATTACAACTTCTAGTTCTAGGCATGATCTGTATAAATTAAAATACAGCTGCCCAGTACACCACGTCCTCCGCAATCATACGAATAGCAGATATGTCCCTAGGCTGGTCGTTAATCGCATCGAGAGCATGAGTGAAATTACTCTCGACCACAATCTGTTGTACGCAGACGCAGTACACCCATACGCTCTGCTACCGGATACCTTCCCAAGTTTCTAGCAATTTGATGTGTGCGACGAGAAATTTTTCAATGTGATCGATACACGGAATGGTACATTACGTGTCATTATACAAATAGTGGGATATGTGTATTAAAAAAATTAATAATTTAAAAAATAAAAATTTTCACCATTTGTATAAAAACACGTGATGTATCCCATGTTCTGTTAATAATAAAAAATCTTTCGTGTGCGACAAACGAAATGCCCTTCTTTCTCCAAGCACTAGCCGCCACAAAGTGCCCATGCCCATCACGAATTACGACCCCCACACCACTTAATTTTTCAAACGATTACTTAGTCCAAAATTAGAAGGCTACTATTCAAATAAACTCAAGTTATACAAATTACAAATGGACAGTGAGAAATATATCAGATAAAGAGACATTTTTGTGGTTTTCTGGTTTTGCCGCGGTTCCCAATTATATATAATCGCATTTTAGGACTACCATGCTAAAGTAGCGTTAGTGTCAAAATGATAGTTTTCCCTTTACAGATGATGCGTAGAGACAAAATGTATCAAAATTTAGATGGGTAATTCGATTGAATTAAGAATACATGGATTATATGCTCGTTATGACGATTTTACTCTTGACGTTGTGAGCATACCATAAACCACTTCAGGAAATGTAGCATCTGTCTATCCTACATGATAGACTGTAGCACCAGTCTCACCTCTGAGTATTAGGCCTTTGGGCCACCAACAAATGAAAGGTGTTTTGGGCCATGATTGTCCTGCCATCGGGCCATACCTGACCCAGTGTTTGTGGGAAGCTGATTCTACAAAGTCTCCACTTGAGTGTCAAGTGCGCTGACGATGATACCAACAGGAACACTACAAAGACTGTTGTGTACCATCACTAGCAAAACATTAAGGTCTACCTAGTATGGTTTGCAACCTTTCATCACAACTGTTTGCTAGGGTTCAGGTCTATAAATAACTAAGTCAAATGAGAAAATCAATCGTCTGCTAGGGTTCAGGTCTATAAATAACTAAGTCAAATGAGAAAATCGATAATCGACACTTACTACTTAGAACTTTTTCAAGTTCTTATTTTCTCTCAAATTGCTTATCTAACTTACGTATCGGGGAGGCCCTTTGGCGGACACCCTCTCATTTTTTGTAAGCTCTCTTGTAGGTGAAATTTCGTCTAGTCAACCGTGTACGAAATTTACATCCACAAATTAGTGTTTTTATTGAGAGTAAAATTGAGTTATAGAACGCGTGCTTAGAGATCTAAGCGAAGAAAGTAAATTTCAATATCTTTCTTCATCGTTCTTTGTCCTTCATTCATCATCCTTGTTCACATCGGGTAACAATGGTGAACACGTGAAGAACCACGAGCAAGAACAACAACGGCCAATTCTTCAATCTGGGATTGTCATGAATTCTCCACGGTCAAGGAAAGTGGATCCAAAGTTTTCATTGATAACGACCCTTCACAGCCTTTTTCCGAGGCTCGGAGCCACTTTCGCCGCGAATTGGGATTGACGTGGCTACGTGAAGGCCCCAAATTGCCGTCAGGAATCTCCACGAGCAAAAACAGCAGCATCCTGAACAGCCCCGACAACAGCAACAGCAGCGACAACAACCGCCATTAGAGCGTCCCTACCTCATTTAGCCGATTCCTGTCAAACAGCCCACTACCAGTTCAGTCGCCTCCTGCTGAGCAGCAACCATCAGCTCCATGTGCCTAGGCCCATCATTGCAGCCTCTAGCGGCTCTACTGCATTGTATCACGTCACTACTAGCAGACGTGCGACAGCAGACCACTAGGGGTTCCGGCCATCTGGAAGCTCTTTCTTTGCAGACCTTACCACTACGCTCACTCAGCGGACGAGGATGCTCAATCGAACTCCTCTACTGCCGCGATAATCCACGAAAATAAAGGAAAAAGAAAGGTTCAAATGTTAAGGTTCTATAGATAGACAACGCAAATTTTCTTTTGTTGCAGAAATTGTAAAACTTGTCAACAACAGCATGGATGGCATGATGCAAAAAAAGGGTAATGTTAGGGAGACTAAGTTTCGAGACTAAATTAGTAAACTAAACGATGTGTCAACAATAGAAATGAGTACGTTTATCAACGTTTAAGTAATAACTCGATTATCAATTTCCATATCCCTTAATTTCTAAAATTTTGTCAATAAATTTAACCTCCTTAGCATTACTCCGTAGAAAAAACTGCTCTGTATCTTAAACCTTTAACTCGTAACAAAATGGTGTTCAAAAATTAACACGCATGTAAGAAAATTGCACTCTAAATTCTAACAGACTAATCGACGAAGGAATTCTTTCCACACAATGAAAGACTATACGAGACGAAACCTCAAAGGCTCATTTGTCACTGTGAGAGCATATAAAGAAGGGAAAAGTAATGTCAATATATATGCAATATTGGTTGAAAATTTTATAAGCCATGCTCTGTTAAAGACTTACTGTTAAAAAATTTAAAATACCATTAATTTAATTCCCATTGTCTCAGTGACCAAACAAACGAGAAGTGTCTGGTAGCTGAGCAAACTGCGACTCTGAGGATTATGATCGGAATATGAAATAGAAACACGGTAACAAGAAAGAAGACGATGCATCTCAGAAGAAAATCAAACCTCTACTAGCAAGAGAATACATATCTATTAGCTACTAAAATACGAAATCTCGTAATGAGACGTCGTCAACTCAAACTCTAAACCCTACTAAAAAAGCTTGGAATATGCAGAAAGGGAATCGAGATTCCTGCTCATTCTGATTCCTTGTCGCTTTCCTGCTTGACCTGATTCCTGTTTAGTAAAGATGGCCAAAGCGGTGTGAAGTTGGGAATATGGAGAAATCCTTCTGAAAGATTTGAAGGTAAACCATCAAGGTCAAATCTTACAATCATCTTAGGAGTATAAGCCCACAATCGATTCTCATGCGTAAACCAGATCTTCCCTTCCTTTGTGAATTTCAATATATCAGTAACACAAAACTTAGAAGAGTATGTGAACTCATGCTCTTTAGTCCAAGACTCCTTCATCACCCAAATCTCAATCATACTAGGTGTTGATCTAAGAATTAGGAAGAGACTACCTTTGAGGACTCCGAGCTTGAGCTGAGCAACTGTCAGATGCAAACAGCAAGGCGGTAGTGGTAACTGTTGGAAGCACTCTCTTTCGACGTCAAATGCACATAGAAAGGGAGCACCTGCACTTGGAGAAACAGGGATGCCATATGCATATAGAACGGGACGGTCCCTGTTATGACTTTGAGCAATCCAATAAAGAAATCCATTGAGATAAACCCCAAGAGAATTTCCATGGAAACTGTCGAAGGATTCTCCAGTTTTTCTCCAAATCCCAGAGCCAACTTTCAAAACCATTACATCACAAGATCCTTCAAACGGACTCATAATCCGGACTACTTTATAGAGGTTGCTAATGGGACTAAACCCAAACCCTAAACAATCTCTCTTTGCAGGTTCGGTAGGTGTTGGAAGAGTTAAAGACTCACCGGTGACAGGATTAGACAAGTAAAAACGATGGACCTCTGTCATCGCAGGGTACACGAGAGATTCGCGGTAGCAGAGGAAGCCGTTGCACGAACCCACAAGGGAATATTCAAGTACTTTAGCTTTGACATTTGGGTAGATGATTTTACTGAAGCGCTTGAGCACGACCTGGTTTCGGTTTGAAGCCCTGTCGAAGTCGACCAGAAACTGGCCTTTCCATTTGGGGTGATTCAGTTCGTTGAACAAAAGGCAATCCGGCGTTCGTGAAAATAGGTCTTCTGTGAACTGAGGGTCCGATAGCAAACGACGCCAGGACTTGCATGTACGGTTGCACTCGACGAGCGTTTTGATTGGGAGTTTGCAGAAGATCTGCACTGTTACATCGTCTGGTAACTGAAGGATGTAGGGTTTATGATCGTGCTCTTCTTCTTCATTAACTTCTAGTTTCAGGGATCCGTCGCTGCTGCTTGGTGGGTGCCTGCAGCACGCTTTAGTTTTCTTCATCGTCGAGAGAGAGGGAGGGAGAAGTGTTTATTAGTATGACCTCCCCACTTAGGGTTGGTTGTGTCGTTGAGTTGCGGAGACCGTAGATTGTTTTGGAGCGAGGAGAGGAAGAAGAAAGTATGGAGAAAATTGTTGTTTTCTCAGTGATTCAGGCCATATATATATGTATTAGAATGGATTTAAAACTACAAACGAAAAAGAGTCCGTTTTTGCTACGGATGAGGATTCTCTGCTTATTTTAGCTCCACCAGTTAACCTGTAGAGATTATTTAGCATACTCGAAACACAAGATGATACAATATATATCATCATATAAGTAGAACGACACTTAAAATATAAAATTTTCATCCACTTATATAATAACATCTAGTGTACCATCTCATGCATAAAAATTTTCTCTTAACCGTGATGTGGCACTACTCCTAATCCTTATATAATTAATTGGGCCACGTCACCGTGTCTATTAACCATATGTTATCTAGTCATTTAATTAAATATTTATGAAAATAAAAGCAATTAAATTAGGGTTTTTTTTACTATGGTAGTATTTCTTTTCATTTGTAAATGAGAGATCATCTGAGGAGAAACTCATTTCGAAACGAGAAATGCAACTCTTACACTCTTGACTCTCAGGAAGAGAATTTTTAGTGTGATCGGAACATAGGGGGATACACCACGTATCACTATGCAAATGGTAAGATATGTGTGTTAAAAAGTTAATAGCGTAAAAAAATAAAATTTCCATCACCTATATAAAAGCACGCGATGTACCACCTGTGTTCCGATTACAAAGAAAAATTTCTTACTCTCAGGAGACAATGCACTAAGAAGCTGCTCATCTCAAGGCCTCCTGAAAACCCTTTCTTTGAGAAAAGCCGTCTTGCTCTCCCACTCTGTTTTCCAAGTGGGTTGGATTACATCGAGCAGCTTCTGGGAAAAAAATTGAGGCTTGTCTTTTTTATATGCACGAGTGCTTCATTAACATGGTCCAATACATAGTACTTGCAACTAAGGTATAAAATATCGATGATATCGAAAATATTGGTAGTCCAAAAATACGGAAATTTTGATGGAAATATTGGGATATTATCGATATCGATAAAAATTGAATAAAAACCATGGAAATTGTAAGAAAAACTTGAAAATTTTTATTGAAACTTTACAGGATGTTTATTTAGTCAATTATCTATTAGTTTATCAAAAAAAATTGGAAGGAAATGCATTGCATGATAGATATAACTGATTTAAGTTGATTATATAGCGAGCTGGCAAACAGTGTGAGTGTAGAATATATGTAGTAATTAATGAAAGAAGTTTAAACACACCATAATCATTTATATATAATGAATTAGTACAATATTTTACACTTTATACATTGCATGGTAAGATACATGAGTGACTTAGCAAGGTCTAAAATATCGATGATATCAGAAATATCGATAGTCCAAAAATACGGAAATTTCGATGGAAATATCGAGATATTATGGATATTGTAGACCATGCTTGCAACAACCCAAATTTATTGTCATCATTTTTTACAACACCCCACATATTCAAACACCAAAATTTCCCAAAATTAAGCAGGTTTTTTAATCAACTTGAACGAAACCAGGATGAAATTGTTGGCAAATTTTCAGAAACGGATGATTAGAATAACCCAAAAACCAAAGTGGTGAGAGAAATATGAATTAGGGCATATAAGTCATTTCATTTTAGAACATACAAGGCATTTGATATTTAAATTTTATCTGAGGTGCATTCATCAATAGGGGGGTGCCAATAAAACAACCTTTAAATTAAGGCTTATTAGTTGAATTCCCCTAAAACCGTAATTTAGTCTCCACATATCAAGTTATCATTTGAAACTAATTTTGTCTCACTCTATCCTCTGAAACTGCCAATTCCAATTTCAATTCTTTTGGTCTCACTTCACCTAATGTTAAATTCAAGGGAACTTTAACGAAAAGCACCTAGTACTGTTCACTTTAACGAAAAACCACATTTTTACACTAAAAAGTCAATCCTGGTACTATTCACTTTACCCTTTATTTTGTCCTTATCATTAAAACTCAAAGTTTTCAAGCTCTTTTCATTAGTTTTCCTTAAATTCAAAGGTATTTTAGACATTTCACTTTTTAAACCACTCTTTGTTTTGTCTCCATCTGATGCTTGGGTTTAGTTGACTAATCTTCTTGACAAAACAAATTAGGGTTCAAGAAAGAAAAGAAAGGAATTTAATGATTTATTGGGTTTGAATTTTACATTTTCAACAAGATGAGGTGAAGTGAGACCAAATGAGTTTAAAATGGGTTTCAACGGATAAAGTGAGACAAAACCAATTTTAAGAGGTAAATTGAGACATAGTGGCAGTTTCAGATACAATTCAACTAATAAGCCTTAAACTAAAGAAACACACTATATAGTTGTAATTTTCCCAGCGCATGCAGAGTGGGAGCTTCTATAACGAGTAAGTTTTGTGCGAGTCTGTGGTTCAGTTTAGCACAGTACGTAATTACCGATTAAAGTGATAATCTCCAGGGTTTTTATGATGATTGTTTTTTTTTAACTCTCATCCCCTTCAATATTAGGTTTTTAAATGAAGCGTGTTCAACAAAATATGGAGGTGCCAATAAAAAAATAAACCGTGCTAGTTCGAACCCCCTTAATTTCCCTTCTCATAACAACTACTTATTGTTCTACTAAAAAAAAAGATTATGAATTATACATATGTATCACAGTAGATCTTATAACGACAAATTTACATAAACCAAAATCGAAAAAAAATTATTAAGTAGAGTAGAATCTAACGAACTTGAAGATTTAGGCTTGCATGCAGATCAATAATTTCATATTATGGCATTATATTTCCAGCGTAACGTAGAAGGCTCTGGTGGCAGGTCAAGATACTCTTCTTTCGGATACAACATGCAAATATACAAACTTTATAGTGTTGTGTTTCAAGAGATAGCAAGGAACTTAACTTACATTACAGAGACTCGAAAAAGTATTGGACTGGCTACACACAAGGCCTTGCAATTCTTATTTCCTATAAATTACATGCACTTTAAACTGCTTCTGTGAATTTCGGGATAAGATGTTTACTTGTACAGGTTATTTATTTGCTCCTTGAACTGAGCTACGACTCGGTCCCTTCGAATTTTCATAGTTGGAGTCATTAGTCCACTATCAATCTGCACAATAGAAGGTATTACTAACCAGACAATTACCAGTCACATCTGCAACTTGAATGACGACGCAGGCAAAGATACTTTACCGTGAAGGGTTCATCCACAATCAAAATCGGTCCAATTTGAAACGAACACCCTGTAGTCCTGCATGAAATAGATAGGGAACTATAAGAAAAAGAAAACATTAGATTGTAATGGCCTCTGATGTTGTCCTCATAGGCTGTATTCCTTTTATGTTTCTTGAAGTTTTCAACGGCATGTCATTACGATGATATTATGACAATTTCTTTCATGAGTTTTTATTTCGGTGGTAACTAATTCATATCCGCTATGTAAAAGATAGTTTACAAAGAAATCTTACCATCTTCTTAAATCTTCATATACCAAGTTTTTCATTTTATCCATACTGAGCTCAGAGGCATTAACATCTACAATGGACAACTTTTTGGCTGCAAGTAAAACCTCTTCTTTGTTTGGAACAATTATTGCCCCAAGTCGTCGTTGATCCTACATACAGATATGCCATACGACTCACAAAATCAGTACATGTCCTCTTAAATGTAGCAGAATATAGATAACTATAGTTCTGGAAAGTCCAATGCAGAAAAAGAAAAAAGAACAAAAGAAAGCTGCTGAAACTCGACCTGGCCGACCACAACAATTTGTTGAATTAGACTACTTCTCATGGCAGCTTCCTCAAGCTCCACTGGTTCAACATTTTCACCTGATTTTTCAAGCAAATAAAAATTAAAGAACAAAAGATGGCAAGTAGGGTATTAAGAGGAGAAAAAGGGGAAAAGGAGATGAGAAGAAATTTATTACAAAGTTCTAAAATCGGAATCCACTATATTACCTTTCTTTTATGATAAAGAGACTTTTTTAACAACAAATTAGCATAAAGATGTTTGTCAAATTCTCTAGATTTCAGACAAAGAAGAATCCCGAAACTCAATGGAAACTCAAGCCCCCAAGAGCCGACAAACATTTTCACACAACCCTTACACCGACATAATCTTCAAAAATCCCATTACTCCTTTTGTTTCTCACTAAAAGACTAGATTTTAGAATATAAAAGCATATAGTTCACCTGACCCACATCCAAACAGCTTACGCTTTAGGGAATAGTGATAAGCCAACGAAATTGAAGATCAGCATGATAAAGTAAACAACTAAAAGCTCTTAATTTGAAATGTAAATGAGATAAATAATATAAGAGGAGTTCAAACAATTATGACTACCACAAGCTGAAGAAGAGAAATTCCAAAAGTTAAATCAAATGGCTGGTAATTCTAGGTGGGGGATGGGGAAGCGGAAATGGACCTGGTTGGCCTCTGAGGGTGTCCCCATTGGCCATAGGCCTAAACGATCTGCTACTATTCCTTTCACTTCTTAGCAAGAAGATACATGGCGGTGTAGTAGAAGAAAATTAAAATATGTTTGTATACCTGTTGAAAGGACTATAGTATCCTTTGCGCGTCCTTCCAGGACAATAACACCTCCACAACGACGACTTCGCCCTGTTGAGTGGTGAGGAGCAATCCAACCAATATCTCCAGTACTCAGCCAACCATCCTCATCTAGTACTTGCTTTGTAGCCGCTGGATTCTAGTTCAAAATGTGAATGCAAAGGTCAATTGACATCTTACGCAAGGAAAAAATAATATGAATTCTGATTATTTTGGGTGAAAGCAGCAGCAAAATGGCACCAATCTCCAAGATACATTAGCAAGTACACTTTCCAAACACTTACACACATGAACTAGCGGGCACCTCAACATTTTCACCAAATTAATAGAGTAAAACTATTAAATACTATGTTATGGACTTGGATAAGTAGTACGAAGAAGTAACGTTTCTACAAGAGTAAATATGTTCAGAAAGTCTGCAAGTATATGGGGAAAATTAAGGCTAATGTGGAATATAAACTAATATTGGGCTCACATTATAATAACCTAAGCTTTTCTTCTTAAAAGCGTCTGGGACAGTGGTAACCAACAATTCAATCATGATATGGAATCTTGTGTTAAATCCTGAGCGTATGAAACACTGTGCTAACCCTGCTTGGACTTAAGATATATCTTGATGGGGTAGGTTCAATTTAACGACAGTGGTGCCTCTACACATACACTCATATGAATGTAAATATATAAGTAATGTATGCCTGCAAATATTTGGTGCATTACAGACACCTACCATGTGATAATACTAACCAGTTCAGTACCTCACAAGTTGCAGTTTTAAAACATTTAACGGGTGGCTCCGTAATAAATACTAGAATATTTCCGCTAATATACAAAGGGAAAGGGCCCGTCAGCTAGAAGTTTTGAGCATCTTTTCTGTGAGTATAAAGATGCTAAGAAGACGGTTCCTGGTTATAAGGATCACTAATCAATTAATAATGCCTAGTTTACATCTATTGAAGATTTCCATGGTTCTAAATTACACTCGTGTAATCTATTTATAAGGAAGTCTCGAGAAGAATGGGAAAATGAGTTTTAATAACCCTTTTTTCTTCACCAATATTACAGTACCACAAGTTTTATGTCTTTAGTCATACCACCTTTTATCAAATTTTACTATTTAAACCCACAAAATGCCCATAAAATTTTAGCATTATCTTATCAGCGACTCAAAAATTAAAAAGCTCATTCTGATCTACAAAAGTTAAATGTTACCTTATAGTATCCTTTCATCACTTGTGGGCCCCGAACATTTATAATGCCACTTGATCCTGGTGGGAGAACTTCACCAGTTTCCAAATCAACAACTTTGAACTCGGTATGTCGAATTGGAGGCCCAACTGAACCAAGAACCTTCAAAAATTTAAATCTGTGATGTTATCATACAATGTACCACATACGGAACTCACAGCCTTGAATAAAAACATATAAAAACCTTGGGCCTTTTATCACATATAAACACTTTACATTATCATCATAATTCCTTGAACTTTTTCTTACATATAGGTTATAACTTGAGCTTTGCTCTAACAAAGCAACAATAATTTTTCCAAAATATCACCTGTTTATTTTATTTTCTGCTATCACATGCACTGTCATAGGTTCCATTAACCAACAAGTACATATCAATTATTTATATGTAAATTAGATTGCTGTTCTTACATTATTGTTTGGCCGGCGAGCAGCAATAACTGGAGAAGTCTCTGTTAAACCATATCCATTTTGCACTTTCACACCAATTGCCTGCAAGCGCACATCGCTAGAATGAGAGCTGATTGTCCAAAACTTCTCTTTGGCAGTAATATATGAGTGAGAGTCTAACCTCAAAAAACTTATCAACATGTGATGGCAAGCTACCTCCTCCGCTAATACCAGCCTGCAGGAAGCCAGGAAAGATTTCCTTAGTTCACTTCATTCCAGTCAAAAGCATCCATGAGATATACTTAGAAGACCCAAAAAAATGACAAGACAATCTAAATCTTCTTACACACAGGGACTTTTGCAGATGAGAAAGAAATGTAGAAAATAAGTAGTTACAAGAACTCTAAAAGTTTCCTGACTAAAACACCAATCCTTCAGATATATTAACCAATGTATTCAGTTGGCTTGTGAACGATGATCTACAAACCAAACCACACAATACACCAAAGAAAACCACTAAATACCCACTTTTCACACCGTCAAATTCTAATAAAAAGAAGCTGTGACTACAATAAATGACTTGAAAAAAGATGACCTTTGATATTCCGACAGCAGAATGAATTTTAGTATAGACAAGCTTCTTTCCCAACATATGCAAAGGCCATAATATCGCAGCAACAACTCTTGCCCATAGCCAATCATACAGTGAAGCAAGATAAGATGGTTGCTTCTGGTTCCTTGTCAAATATGTTCCCTACAAACGAAATTCAAATCAATCAATCCAATAAGTTTGGCTGGGAAATGAGTTGTTAACTAGTAACACCTTAGACATAAAAAGATCAATAACTGAGTGTGAAATCAGTTGTTAATAAGTTTGAGATAAGAAAGGCAATTAAAACAAGATGCCTCCAAAAAAAAATTTTACCAGAAGATTCTAATGCATTCAATCAAAGAAAAACTCTATTTTTTATGGGATGGTAAACAAAATTATGAACAAATAGTTTAAATATAAAAGAATTATATTACTGTTATGATCAATAATCTATTTAGACCTTCTAGGGTTATCATTAATGTATTAGAGCCTCGGTTCTACAACATCCTCCAAAAGGGCTATCTCCAGCTGAGATTTGAATTCCTAGGCTGTATTTAAACTACTCTAAATCTCAACACATAGCTGATGTGGGACCCAAATGATCAAATTGCCGTTGAAAATTTTTCTATTGATATTCCTGTCACTACTATAAAGGGCGGGGTGTAAGCTCTCTATCAACAGGGTCTGTTCTCCTTTATATGTTCTGTTTTGACAGCAAAAAGTGTTGAGGCCGGTTGCTGTGTCTCAGACACGTGATGCCTAATTTGTTAATATAGTGAGGCACGTCACGGAACTTAAGTCATTTATGAAGATGTGATGTCTATATTGTGGGTGCACATGAACTCATTCAGCTACTGGGCCCATGGTGCCTAAGTTGTTAAAGTAGGCAGAAGCACAAATCCAGTTTACGTTTAGGCCTTTTTTTTCATCAGTATATTATGGCCTGTGCAAATAGAAAATAGCATAAACAAGACAAGGTACTCAGTGGTTGAACCTCGTAAATCCTCTTTAACTCCATGTATGCCAAACTGATCCTTATGAATGTAAGTGCAATAAACTTACGAGCAGTAGAGCTCATAGAGATCTGTTTCTGAATCCCACTGCATGATGAAAATATGAAAACTACTTTAGAACCCTGAATGAACAATAACGACTAACAGATAACCCTAAATGTTGAAAATATTTCTGCAAACGAATACAAAAAGAAGAAGAAAAAAAAGGTTAAAATTTCAACTAGTTGATGCATTGTACAACCAATTTTACAATGTTACAAACAAAACAAAGCGAACAAGGAAAAAAAAAATCGACACATGTTCAAACAACAAAAAAAGGGAAACTCATAAGACAGTTGTCTACTTTGTCATTAATTAAAACCAGACCTCTGCAGTAGCATAATTTCCAAGAAAAAGGACATACCTGTAAAGTGTCTCATACACTAAAGGAACAGAAATTATGAAATTTGGTTGATACTGTAGCAAATCCTCCTATAAACCAATAATCATATCAATTAGTACATCATAAAAGCAAGAAAAGGTATCGAATAACTGGATGTGAAACAAATAGTATGTCATTTTCTGTCACTAACAATATTCTTGTAATTTGTTGAATCACCGGAGAAGGTTAAGGTAAAGTTATTCCTTGAGAAAAAAATAATGGTTGGAGCAACGTGCAAGCCACATGCATGACTTCCCTATCATGTACTTTCTCGAGAGAACATTGTCCAGCTCTGGAAATAAATTTCTTCAGAGTATAGTATGCTGGAAAGTTGGAAACAGAGCAACTTAACATCCATGAAAATAAACAATTCAAAACAGTAATACCTTCAAGTTCCTGACAGTTGTGTATACTTGCTCGATTCCGTACGTCAATGTGAAATACTCACAAGCTCGTTCATAGGCATGCCAAGGTGGAAGCATGCTGAGAAATCTGTCCCCAGCTTCAGCAGGCACAACATCCCATAGGTTTTTTATCTGGGAAAAAAGCACATAGAAAATAGCCTCAAGTTAACAATTATAGACATCTATTGGCTCCATTTATAACAAAAAGAAACAGGGGAATGTCATCCAAAATGCAAAGGAAGAAGAGGGAACAAAGGAAGAACTAAACTACCTCTAACAATCATTTATAGTTCAAATTAAACATAAAAGGAAGGCACCTAAAATCCATCTTTGCAACACCCTAGAAGTCTCCAGAGACAAAGGCGTTATTAGTGCATCTTGTCATACATCATAAGTTGGACGGCCTCCTGGCCATGATATAAGTTCCATATCACTCACAAAGTTTGCAAATTATACGTACCCATTTTATTAGAGTTTGGGTCTGTATATTTTATTTTAATGTCAGATTCTTCATATGATGTAGGGCTCATCACGTATTCGAATTTCTAGAGTTCTAGAGAAGACAAGATGAGTTGAAAACGAGCTAAATCTATGTACTTAGTAGCTTTTCCAACTTCTTCGGTAGTACACCATATATTGCACGTTCAAATTGATTATCAAATATGACCTTTTTCTTATTCTTTAAATGGCTTTTGCAGTACTTTTGATATAACAGGGAGATGCATGTTTTCGTCAGTGCAGTTTTACCTATCAAACAGAAAAGGTTAAATGACAATAAATTTATCCAGTGAAGTTACAGTCTAGATACTATTGCTTTGTTGATCATACCAAGATTATTCAACATACAAACCTGATGCAACAGATTTCGATGAGTTAGCATGACACCTTTCGGGTTCCCAGTTGTTCCGCTTGTATATACTAGTGTAGCTACATCATCTGAGTTGATAGTTTCATATGTATACTTTCCCCCTGAAATTAAGCCATATGGGCGTTGCATTCATTTACCCAAAGAGAGGTATATTATATTGGCTAAAGAAGTGCATCGAAACAAAAATTATAAGCAGTGCAATTTCCATGTTAAACAAATACTATCAAAGAGCATATGTATCCCAAAGTACTATGATGCAGGGCAGTGGTAATGAGCTGCCATCCAGCCGCTACATTGATTGAAAACCAGAATAGAAGACAATTCCCAGAAACAAACAACAGAAATAGAGAAATAAAATCAAACTGGGAACAACTATGATTGAGTTCAACGGCAAGACACCCAAGAGAAACTCTATAATCTGGTTACTGGCATGAAATTAGTAATAGACTGAATACGAGGTCTCCTAATAGACTATTTAAAATATGGTTACTGCAGCCCTAGCATCATAGATCTTTGGTACTATCTTAAAGCAAAAAAAGAAACTGTTAGCAAAGACAGAGGGATGACATACGGGCATCATTAAAGTCGAGCATACTCTTACGACTCTCTCGACCCAGATCCAGAATCTCCTTGTAGTTAAAAACAGGAGTCTTCTCTTCACTGGCCAGGCTTGACTTCTCCCCCCAAAGCAGAATTACAAATTTCGTGACAACCTTGGAAGAGAATGCTTCTGCGATCTGATTGAACAATTCAGGACTGTCCACGGCAAGTGCGACACTGTAGTCGTGATGAAACTTAAGATTATTTTATGGAGTCATCAAGGCAAAAAGAGAAGGAAACATGTGTTAAAAATGCTTTAGATTATTTGAAAGAACAAATTTGCACTCATTAAGGCTCGAAAAGAGATCGACTGTGAAATCATGTTACTATAAAAAGTTGCAACTGCACAATTATGAGAAGAGTATCAAATTGAAACCGATGAGACAAACCATGTTGAGTGTCAAGATTGGAAATGAATTTTACCGGTGAATATAATGTAAAATATACATCTCATAATTCATATATTAATATAACAAAGGTGGTGGAAATTGACTTGAATAAGCAGAACAGGCAAGTAAGAAGGCACTTTGTCCACACCTTTCAGAGTGATCATATATTTGTAACAACTCTTCCACTGAAGACCTTGAACCTCTTACCACATTGATAGCTCCAGTAGCCATTATACCTAAACCAACATAAAACATGAGGATAATTAAAATCCATAAATCATACATAGTGAAGAATACAAAATTTATTTAGCAGCACATTTGGTAGGCCAAAAATGGAACTGTACCCTGATCTGCTACAAGCCAACGACATGAATTATTGGCAAAAAGTGCAATTTTGTCTTCAGGCTTTACTCCAACAACTCTTAGGCCTTCAGAGAAATCCAAAATTTCCTCTTCCAGCTGCAATTTCAAAATTGGAATAAAAACAAAAGTTATAAACATAGTACTATCATTTCTTCGTATTAACATCGGAAGAAGAAATGATAAAATTGAACCAACCGATATAGAGGCAATTGGATGAAGCACGCAAAAGAAGATAAAGGAACAAACAGTGAAGGTAAAACAAATATGTAAGGGAGAATTAGAATCAGAAAAGAAAATTAACCTGTTTATAAGTCATGCTTGAAGGCGGGTCATGGTATGGATCTGTCAATGCTACACGATCACCATATCTCTCGGCTGAAGATCTCCAAATGTCAGGAACTGCCTGCCACTCATCAGATACAGAAGCACCATTCCTGTTTAGGAACGCACTTTCTAGAAATGGTGAATACCTTCTTATCTGCAGTTCCTCTGTCTGTAACTGAATATTTCAGATACAAATATATGTCAGTATTCAGTACCCTCTAGCTGTGTTTCAATCCAAATACTCGGGAACGTTAGACCGCATTGCAAGGTGAATTACCTACCGGTGTCTGATTCCTTATTTAAAACATGAAATTAGGAATAGTGGTAAGAATGTCACACAAACGGTGGTGCAACCAGCAACAAAACCAAAACAATTCAAACTATTAACTAATGAGCACAGAACATGATTGCCTCCTGAGATTGTAACGCATTCAGAACCAGAATAACCGAAACTAAAATCCTAAACGCGATTTCATGTCTAAGAATCTCAACACAGCTCCTATCTCAGAATACTATCAAATGCAGTCACAAGCTCACCAGCACTAATAGAATTACAAAAGCAGTAACATTATGAACAAAAACATATTAAAAAGAGCAGAAATTGAATATATAAATTCAACATAAACCAACCAAAATTTAAAAAATTCATGAAATTCTCAGAAAAGGGTGTTCAAGAATCACCTTTGATTCGCAAAACACTCGAAACCCGCGATTCGGAAGAAACCCACCTCGCCTTCCATGCCATGTTCGAAGAAAAACACATCTGCTTCTGAAACTGTAGCTAGAAAACAGGAATTGAAGGGCACCCCCACAATCAGAAGAGCTTGCCAACAACAAGTTGGGCCTCAAGGAAAAGGTGGCGCCAATTTGATTTGCAGAAGCAGCAGATGAAGAAAGCATAGCTGATATCTGTGTGTTTTGTTATCGTGCGCCTCTGACTTTCTACAGATTTTATGCGTAATATGCTGATAGTGTGAACGAGAGATGTCACAGCGACAAGAACAACGATAAGAGCTTCATAGTGTTTGTCGGAGTGTGGAAGTTGAGATCTTTAGTCGACCAAAGTATTAAAAAAGTGGGAGGATTCGATGGGATCTTTGAGGTGTTCACCCTTAACAACACAACTGGTTTTGATAGTGAGAAGATCATTAATTGCCGTACTTTATCAAAACCTTGCACCCTTAGATGGTCGTTTTGTCATGTACCTTTGTCTACGGTATTAAACGCATGTCTTTTTCGTTCTTTATCCCAAGTCCAAACCAGCCAAAATTTTATTTAAAAAAAATAGAGTAAATTGTAGCAGTATCAATTTTAATCAAATTTGAGTAATGATCTCTCAATTAAAAATTTATTACCATTGGTCCCTCAACTTATCAAAACGTGTAGCTATAGTCAACTTCATCAATTTTTTGCCAAAGTTGGTTATGTTGGATGGTCTATTGCTATAATTGGGTTAAAGTTGAAAGACCATTTCTCCAATTAAATTAAAGTCGAGGGACTACTGGTAATAGATTTTTAGTTGAGGTACTATAGCTGTACGTTTTGATAAGTTGAGGGATCAATGCTAATGGATTTTTATTTGAGGGACTATTGCTCTAATTGAGTTAAAGTTGAGAGACCATTGCTACAATTTACTAAAAAAAGTAACACAACTTTCACGTCCTGTCGCTTAAGCGCTAGGCAGATGATCGATGCCTCAATTAATTCTTAAACATTTAAAAATTAAAAAAAAAAAGATGATTAGACGCTAGCTTAGTCTGCTTAAACACTAGCTGAGTCACAAGCAACTCTCACTTAGATAGAAAATAAATTTTATTTTGTATTTATTTTTTAAGAAATTGTAAGAGATTTGTTAAATACTTAGATAAACACTTGTTATATGCTTGTTTCCCATATTTTCAATATTTTCTAATACTTTATAATATTTATGTCATTCTATTTGCAATTTATTTACTTCAATACAATTATGTATTTTTATTTAAGTATAAGTAGACATTTATTTATACGGTATATAAATTAAAAAACTGCCTAGTCTCTCGCCTAAACACCTGAGCACTAGGCCTTTGCCAACCACTCGACTAGCACATTCTGATTTTCTTTTGGACAATCGATACTACACTAAGGAGAGTGGGCTAAATCTTATAATGGTCTAACAATAATATAATTCAAATTCATTATTGACAAGAATTGAACTTAAAACTTTTCATTTACCAGTGAAGAAAAATACAACGAAACCATAATACTAAGTGACATTATGCTATTATATATGGTTTTATTACTCATTGATTGATTGATGTTATTACAATAATTGTGGCCACTAATCCTCCATTGATTTTCATATATCATTATATAGTAGACGAGTAGTGGTGGTTGTCCGCAATATGCGGCTGGGCCCAATGTACGTAATATGTAAGACTGGTTGTAATCACATACTTAATTTTATTTTTTACATATTTGTTTGAATATTTGGTCATATAATGAAATGAATTAAAGAAGAGTAATAGACAAAAACTAATAAGAGTATGTGAGAAGTAAAAAAAGATGTGTGAATAACACTACCCATATCTAATTTTTTATTTTTTTTAGGAACACCCATATCTAATTAGTTACGATCATTTCCATGTAAATTATATATATATATATATATATATATATAGACATACTAGTGAGAAGAAATGACGCTTTTTTTATTTCTCCTCTCAACATTTCTCTTGTTTCTCTCTATTCTCTCTTATTATCTTTTTCTTTATATTTTATTTCCAACACGACTGGTATTAACGTTGGAAATGAAAATTTGTTCTATTGGTCTACCCTCAGCATAGCGTACTTGTATGTCCTCGGCAGTCAAAAGAGGCATAGTGTCGTCATAGAGACCAAAACTAGAGTGTTTGACACTTGGGGGCTGGGACACTTCCCATCAGCATTGAACAAAAACGGATAATTGAAGAGTTGCATTGAACAAAAGCAACATTTTCTCAGTTATATATAAATAACAAGCAAATTAACGTTCATCTGTTACAGTTATACTTTCAAGTCTAACAATTGAGACACCATCTCTTGCAATATTGTTTTAGCCTGATCAGCTGCTTTTATTTTTAAGAGAAGCATTTTCTGATAATCTTCAAAAAATCACACTTGGGAACTTGCAAGATCCATGACCTGCAAGAAGAATACTAGTTAATCAATCTTAATTCCCATGAAAATAGTGTGAGAAAAAGTTTAGTTGGAAATCTTATTTGAACCCGAATCAAGTAGTCACAGATGTAGAGTAATGTATTAAAATTGGAATAAATTCATGGTTCAATTCCCGTCAGCGTAAATAAAAAATAAAAAACAAAAAACTCTTGTATTAATAGGCATTCCCTTTGGAGAAGAGCAAAAAAAAAACTTACTTGGGTCCAGAGATGTTTGCTCAGCCAGCCCATTGAAATGGCAAGTAGCTCCCTGACTCCTAAACTTGGCCCAGTACGAGCTGAAAGCAAAGCTCGCATGCCAAGTCAACGAAACCGGTTCATAACACTCCTTTCCTGGTGAAAGAGCGTCACACGTCCCACTGGCATTCCCTGCAATGCACGCATTGTTTACAGCCGACCCCAGTTCTTCGTCATTCACACTCACACCCTTCGCCACCACGCACCACACCGCGCCCTTGTATGGCCTGTTGTTTTGCTCCTCCGGCAAGGGCTCGTAGTCCTCCAACACCCGCTTCCCTACAATATATATACACATATTAATCAAGTCGTTAAAGAGAAATATCAAAAAGTTTGAAAATGTAGTACCTTATCAGCTAAACAATCTAAAAATTTCATCTATTCCACCTTTATTAGAGAAAGGGTATACACTAGACATGCGATTGAAAGTTTCATTTAAGAAAGTATGTAAAATAGAACCAAAAAAATGAAAGTACGTCAAACTTTTGAGTGAAATGTAAAGATGGTTTCATTTTGCACGTCAATATTTATTTCTTTCTCTTCATTCTCGTTTGATTTATTTAATCTAAATGCAAGAAATAAACAAGAGTGTTGGTGTATGGAAATCACTTCTTTAAAACATATATAAAAATTGGTTTACTAGAGGAATTTGAGGACCATGCCTGTCAAGTCAACGTCATAAATGGGAGTTCCATCAGCATGCAACAAGCCCCAGTGCCTCTCCGTCCCTGGTCCTGTCTTTTGATTTTCATCAAACAATGAAAATATGAATGTAGGTATGACAACACCAGGCCTAGCTGGTGTTCCAAGAGGTGGTTTTGCAACCATTCTGTGTATCAAATTGCGGTTATATGTGGCGGCATTGTGTATATTAGCACCGGGTTGTTCAATGTCCCCAGAACTAGGCCAGCCGGTTTCCGTGATCAGGAGCCGGATGTTGGGGTACCCAAGCTTGGTCATGGCAAAGATCAATGAATCAAGCATTTGGTCTAGGAGGTTAGTGTAGACCAACCCAGTTCCCGGGTCAGTGTACTCCATGGTACTGTTTCCTTTAAATAATGCGAAGTCTAGGCTAATGTTGCCAGGGTTTGAAGACCATGGGAAAAAAGGGTACACATCAATGAAAAAAAAGGACCTGGTCCGGTTCAAGAATCTCAGCATCGGGGCCATGACCGTATCGGATATATCAGCCCGAAACGTGGCTTTTGATGGTGGAAATGTTGATTGCAACGCATCCATGGCCAATGGGGTACCTACTTTGATGTTTGTGATGTTTTGTGATTTGAGGGAGGACTTAATTTTACTCATGGCAGGGACTAGATCGTACCACATTTGGCGATCTTGGTCCGAGGAGTTGTAACTAAGGACTTCATTGCCTATGAGGAGGTACCGGATCATGGTTTCGGGGTAATAGGGGAGGACATTGTTTCGGACCCATTCATCGGCTTTGGTTTGATCTGATGCAATGGTTGAGATTTCATTGTTTGGGACCATAATTGAGACTTGGAGATTCGTTCCAGATAAGAGTTTTAGGATTTCCAGGTCTGCGTCATAGAGTTTCACACGCCCTGCGTTCATGGCCTTGAGGAGCTCGATAGACCGGTTTGCAGACGGCAAATTGTTGCCTAGCCGCCCATAGTTTATGCCAATTTTGCTTGAGATCTCTGCAACTGTACTCAAGTACAGAAAAAAAATGTTAGTGAAACATGAAATTTAGGGTTATTAACTTATTACTATATAGCAAGGTGATGATCTAATTACGTGCATGGTTTCGTATACTTACATGAAAGACCAAGGAGAGGGAAGAGAAAGAAAAGGAAAGGTGCCATTTCAGTTGTTGATGTTACGATCAATGCAATTGCAGGGATATATGCTGTTTTGCAGCATGATCTCTCTTATATATATCTTGGAGAATGGAGAATGTGAAGAGAATGGAGTTAAGAATATTGGATAGTTTAAAGGTCCATGCAAGATATTCTGGGTTGCTATATTTGCTGAGTGATCTTTGTGAGGGTTTGGAAAAGAAATCTTAGTACTCTTGTTTAATATGTGGTCAAAGATGGGGGCAAACCATAGAAATAAGTAGTCAAGTAATACTGATTGATAAAGTAAAAGGCAAAGGTTATGATATAAAAGATTATATAGACGACATGGAGCCTTCTTGCCTACCCTTGGTTCCATTGATTTGTTTACTAGTTATTTCTTTATAAATACAAAATCATCTCTAATAAGTAGGCCCCACCATATTAATAAATTCTTGTGTATCTGATACACCACGTTATATTAGGATATCGTCCGAATAATTGTGGATTATTGGGTGATTTAGGTTGGAGATCAATGATAAGATAACATGACTAGCAAAAAAAAGGGAAAATTAGGATTATTGAGTTATAAGGGTTAGTTTGTATAATAGAGCATTATTATAGTGGTATAAATTGCATGGTAGGAGACACACAGATCCGTTTGTGAAGTTGAGCTACATTTATGAAATATAATATGTATCCTTGATGATTGATAACATGCTATAATTGAATTACATGACTGTGACACTGAGCTTAGCTTTGGCAATGATCTTTGATAAGACTTATGTCCCTATTGAATTGTGGTTTCGCTCACTTTACAGATTTGGAACGAGAATGGCTAAGAGCTAGACGAGCTGAGGTTGGATTAGAGGAGAGAATTAGGAGTTTTATTTTTATATACTTTAAAGATTTCCAAGTCGTTTTGATAAAAGAGAAATTTATTTTTGATGCTGTATTTCATTTCTCCTTTTATTTTGATTAACTTTCTCGCTGGTTTAATCTTTAGGAAAATTAATAAAAAAGGTTTCAAAACTTTGCATTTTAACAAAAACCATCTATAATTGCAAGAGTATAAGGTTATCATAGTATTGCAGCTCAAGTAAGATCTTTTTCCACAGGGATTGAATGAATAATTATGTTAAACCCAATTCTTAATTAATTATTTGAAAACAAAGTTTGGAAAAATGTGATTTTATGACTTAAAATATTAAAAAAAAATTTAATTAAAAATAAATAAATAAATTGGGAAAGAAAACAAAAGAAAATAATTTTGAAAATCTATTTAAACACTAGGGTTCCATCGTCACCTTAGCAATTCTACGTAGTTCTTCCAATTACTTATAAATTTCCCATGCATATTTTGAAGGTTAGGTTTTCCTAAAGTATGCCCTACGTGGAAACTCCAACATAGAACGTATATCTAACATGCCACTTGTGACAACCCGTCCCTAAATTTACGTTTTTATTTATTTTAACCGAGGAAATTGACGAAAATACCCTAGAGGCAAGGACTTTGACTTGCATTGACCATCATCTAGAGAAACGTAAGACTTATTATTTTAGCGTATTTGTGTAGTACTCGTTGGTACGAACACATAAGCGAAAACCGGTTGCGAGTCCGGATTATAACGGTATAGTTACGGATGTTTGAAATTGTTTACTCAAATTTTTGTTTAGGAAATAATTAAACTCCCACTTTGTGGGAAAGAAGCCCAATCAGGTTGTGTTATTGTGGCCAATCAGAAATAAAGGTTGGAGTGAGAGGACCAATTAGGGGAGGAGAGAGAGACTGATTTCCCTTCTCCCATTCCCGTCGACCATCCATGACACACCCTGATCCTAGAATCAAAGCGTGCTGGCCGTCACGTGAGCGTGACGTAACCAAAATTGCGATGCGGAAGCAAAAGATATGAGAAATACGAAGGAATAAAAAAAACCAACTACTAGCAATAATAACCAACTAGCATGCTAGAGTGAGTTTAAGTGTGCAGTACAAAATTTCAGAGCATAAATACTAGGTGCAGTCAAGTAGGACTATAATTAAATTACAACACCCGCAGGTGAGTCATACATGCAGGAAGTCTGTCAGAAAGTCGAAGAAAACCTCGTGAGCCACCAACTGCTAACTAGAACCTGGAGGGGCGCAAAACAAAATTGAGTGGGTCAGTAAAACCAAAGTTTTCCAAAACATTTCATTTAAAGCAATTCTAACCCCTCACTGTAAAACTTGTATACTTTCCCATAAAATAACATAATAGCATAATATTTGTTCAAATCTCTCAAAAACATTAATCTTTACTAAAATCCAGCAAGTATGCTATGCAATAATGTCAATGACAGAATATGGATGCATCAATATAACAGGTGATATAATGAATCAACCGGAGACCCTGTAGTTGGTCATGTACGGTTAATTCTATAGCTCACTATCCAATCCAGCCGGAGTCACCACGGTGACCTGTACGACGCTACTCTGCACATAAGTCGGAACTACCTGAAGTAGTCTGTACGACAAGAATGGTGAAATAATACGCTATAGTGCTTCTCTCATCAATCATCTGCGCGCATAATCTAAGGTCACATACCAGTCGGAACCACCTCTAGTGATCTGTACGACTAGCATGTCGGAACCCTCTCATGGTCTGTACGACATGCACCTACTTGGATCCAAGGTGAGCGTGCGGTGCGGTGCGGTGAATACTATAAGCACTATCACCAAGGGTGCATGTTATGAGCTCTCAACACAATTCACATCATCAATAATTCACATGAATAACAGAAAACTCACCTGATACTCACTTGTGCACCCACAACACCAATTCATATATATATATATATATATATATATATGCATCAAATATCAATTCATATAATTCACAATGTGCATGCATGGCATTTTAAAACATACTATCATTTAAATTCAATTTTTGGGAAAATCAATAGTATATAGGTATAAACAGAAAATACTGCCCACTCACTGGTAAGTCGATGGGTCGTAACCTCCGTGACGTCCCTGGATGCGCTCGTCCTCAGGATAGGTGTCACCTATATGCGAAACAACTATAAAAACGTTAATTAAAGCACATAACCGACAATTTGAAATAACTTCTCATACGGTGCTCAATTTGGGTATATGAATATACCATAGTGACCTACTCGACGTCACGAATGTCGACATATTTTTAGAAAAAATTTTGGGCTTGTCACGCGCCCCCACACGCTTGGACAGGCACGGGTCCACACGCCCCCACGCGCGTCTCCTACCTTGGGCTCGCCGGACTGGTTTTTCCGGTGGCTGGAAAACTGGAGATTTTTCAATCTCCTTGTTCTCCGTCATTTCTCAACCAATTTCTTCGTATTTTATATCAATTTGAAGCCCTCAACATGTAGAATCACGTTAGACTAATTTAAGGCTCTAAAAATAACGAAATCTCACCGGAAAAATTCCAAGAAAACTGGCCAACTTTGAACTCAATGATCCCGATGTCCAAAACCTTCAAACTAAGCACTCCGAGCTTCCTTAGGACCTCACTAAGCTCACTATAAGCTTAAAATTTCCTAAAATTCAACAATTCACATGTGCATGAACAGTGAACTCAAAATGGGTTTCGGATTTCACGTGATATCGAGGGTTCCAAGTTCTAAAAATTGCACCAATGAACTCACAAGCTTCCAAGGATTCACAAACTTACCTTTTTGACGTTGATTCGTGAAGGTTGGAGGGTTTTGGTGCCTCGTCCGTACGAGTCGAGAGGGAGAGAGGAAGAACTGAGAAGGGGAGAGAGATAGAGGGCATGGGGAAAGAGACATAATGTCTTGTGTGTGTGTGTGTGTGTGTGGTCCCTCAAAAAATTCCACTCTTTAATTCCCTAACCACACAAATATACACATATCCTTTAATCAAATTCCAATTTTTCCAAAACTTAGGGAAGAATATATATTATTCATAATATGTCACACCCATACCTTAGTAACTGCCAGGGCAGTTTCGTCGTTTCACAACCTAGAGAATAGAATCTCGGGACGAGATGTGACAATCTCCCCTCCTTATAGAATTTCGTCCCCGAAATTCATTCAACCAAATTATCCATTAATATTCATAAAACAGCCTCGGATACATCTATCTTATTCGATCTTCTGTCTCCCAAGTAGCTTCTTCCACTGAATGGTTCCTCCACAATACTTTTACTAAGCTCGCTGTCTTATTCCTTAAAACCTTGTCTTTCCAATCCAAGATAGTCACTGGTTCCTCATCATACGTCAAATCCGGATTAATCTCCAATGGTTGAGGAGAATCACATGTGAATGATCTGCAACATAATGTCAAAGCATCGAAACATGAAATACATTATGTACCTTAGATAACTTCGGAGGCAACTCCAATCTATAAGCAACTTCACCAATCTTCTCAGTGATCTTATATGGTCTTATGTACCTAGGACTTAGCTTGCCCTTCTTTCCAAATCGCACTACACCTTTCCAAGGTTACAATTTCAAGAATACCAAATTACCCACATCATATACTCGATCAGTAGCATGTCTATCAGTTAAACTCCTTTGTCGATCTTGGGCCGCTTTCAGGTTAGACTTAATCACCTGAATATTTTGAGTAGTCTCATCCACAATCTTTGGGCCTTCTAACACTCTTTCGCCAACCTCTGACCAACACAATGGTGTCCGACAAGCTCTACCATAAAGTGCCTCAAATGGTGACATACCAATGCTCGAATGAAAACTATTATTGTAGGCAAATTCCATCAAATCTAGGCGATCATGCCAAGAATCACCAAACTGTAACACTGAAGATTTCAACATATCATCCAATGTCTAAATAGTCATTTTTTATTGTCCATCAGTTTGAGGATGATAAGCAGTGTTGTAAAGCAATTTCGTATCAAAAGCTTCCTGAAAAGCTACCCAAAACTTAGAAGTAAATCTTGGATCTTGATTAGAAATAATATTCACTGGAACTCCGTGATACTTCACAATCTTCGTGATGAACAATTTAGCCAATTTATTCAGAGGATACTTTTCCCTCACTGGAATGAAGTGTGATGAATTGGTAAGCCGATCTACAATCACCCAAACACCATCAAATCCATTTCGTGTACGAGGGAGCTTATACACGAAATCCATAGTTATATTTTCCCATTTCCACTGAGGAACAGGAAGTGGTTGCATCCGACCAAAAGACTTCTTTCTTTCAACTTTAACTTGCTGACAAACAATACACCTACTTACATATTCTGCAATTTCTCTCTTCATACTCGGCCAATAATAAAATGGTTGAATGGTATCGTACATCTTAGTCCCTCCTGGATGCATCGCATAAGCCGAACAATGTGCTTTATCCAAAATTTCCTTCTTTAATTCCTCATTATTCGGCACATACATTCTGTTATCTTGCATAAGCATGCCATCTGATTCTCGAATCCTGAGGTATTTCTTTTTCCCTTCATTTCTCAATTGGATCATTTTTTGAATTTCTTCATCAACCATCTGAGCTTCAAGTACACGATCAACCAAAACTGGCCTAACTTGAAAACTAGCAAGAAAAGCTTCTCTTCGTTCTTCTAACTCCAACTTTACTCCAGTAGCTCTCAATTTTGCAAGAAGAGGAACACGACAAGCAT